GGATGCTTGCTCCTTAACCGGGCGCCCCAGTACGGGATTCCCTTCTACCTGCAGTACCTGGCGCACTGGCCCGAGTACTTCATCGTGGCCGAGGCACCCGGCGGGGAGCTGATGGGTTACAGTGAGTGCTGTGGGGCTCCCCAGGGTCATTGCGTTCGGGCGATCGTAACGCGGGTGCTGCTCGCCCTCTCGCGTTTCCTGAATACCCAACGGGGCAGGGGGGCGTTACACGGCGCATCCCGTTTCACGCGTGTACCCCAGGGTCGCGTAGGGCCTGCAGCAGGGTTTTGGGTTTGGTGCTCCCAGCGCAGCGAGGGGTCGTGGCCGCGGCAGCGCCTGCCCAGGTGTTGCACAGGTGAGCATGGGCGCCTCTGCAGCCCTCGGCTCTGGCTCCGCACGCTGCTGGTCAGCAGTGAGGGAAATGCTGGGCCTGGGTGCTGCGCTACCCTGGAATGGAAGGCTCTGGGTCTAGATGTCATTTGCTGATTTGCTGTGGAATATTTGTGTTAGTCAGAAACACTCCAAATAGAGCTATTGGTTGTTCATGCCTCCCAGGCTTTTTTCCTCTTTTCGGGGGGTGGAGGCAGAATAAGGGTCTTTGCAGGCTCCTAAGAAATAAAGTATTTAACATAGTAAAGCTGGAAGCATTTGCTGTACAGAACTGTGGGTGTGTTATTCGAAAGGTGCTGCTGCACTGATGCTCTGTATGTTCACAGTCATGGGTAAAGCGGAGGGCTCGGTGGCCAGGGAAGAGTGGCATGGACACGTTACTGCTCTCTCTGTTGCACCAGAATTTCGACGGCTGGGCTTGGCTGCTAAATTGATGGAACTACTCGAAGAAATTTCAGAAAAGTGAGTACTATGTTTATCTTTAAATTTGTCTTTCAAAGTAGTCTTTCTGCAGGCACTTGTCCATGGCTTAGATACTTGATTTGCATGAAACAGACACAGAATTTTGCTATAAGTAGTTTTCCGATTGACTAAAATTCTTTGTAGTTAGAGAACAAGAATTATAAATGTTGATTGGTGGTTTAAAATCTTAGGGTTTCTCTGAAAGCAAACTCTTCCAGAATTAGTAGGAAGTAGCCTGAATTCCAACAGAGGTAATGTATAAAAGGTGCTTTTCTTGACAGAAAAAGAGCTTTGCAAAACGTCAACGCTGTTTCCCCCAGGGCCTTCAATGTAATCGTGAGGTTTGTGCGATTCCCTTGGGTGCAGTTTTGAACAAATTCTGTATGTCCAACAGCATCTTAGCTTACTTTCCATCTTGTGCTTGGTTACTTGTACCTGCAGAAAATTTAATTTAGTGCCAGATGAACTCACAGGGAAACTTCCCCGCCTCATGCTGGTAGGGCAACGCTGTTGTAGTTGATAAAACTGAAAAACAGGATGACGTTTTGGAAAAATCTGCCTTGTGAGAAGAAGGCCTGTCTCCTGTCAGGCAACTGAATTTTGTGACCAAGTCTGTCACCAAAAAACCGGGATGAAAAGAACTTATCGACACCGATGTGATGCAGATGAGCGGACGCTTCTTTATTACGGCTGGGTGTGAAGGGGAATAGTTGCACCAACATCGCGCACCTTGCCTGGTGCGTTTACACACTATAAAGGATACACACGTGCATATGCATACGGTTTCCCGTAGCTAATTAAAATAATGCCTCCTATTCCCGGTCATGCACAGTGTTGACAGAAATTGGGTCTAGGGTGGCTCTGTAGACCCCGCAGACCCCAGACTTAAAAGGAGAGACCCTCCAACGCCCTTGGGTCAAACACCAGGCTAGAAAAGTTGAGGGGCTGTTTCATATAAAAAAGGTTTAAGGCTCCAGTAAACTTTTTAAAGCAATACATTTTTCATCCTTCATTCACTTTTCAGAATGGGGCATTGTTGTTGATTGCTGGCCTGGTTGTTTGGTTATAGAATCACAGAATCACAGAACGTCAGGGA